CCACCACAGTCTCTCCACTGAGGATTAATCTTCACCCCCACAATCATCTTCTAATGTATTTCATTTTCCTTGTTTCTATTTTATATCAAATATAAATATAAATGACACGTAAAATTTATTTGCCAACGGTAGTACTTAATTATTATTTTTGTTTTTGAAAAAGCCTCTAGATTTATGGCAACGGTACCCCGAACCCAACAGAAAAGGACTAAACAAGTTGCCATTTTTATTAGCATGCAATAAATAGCCGCATCGCTTGTTGAATCTAAATGTCAAGGGCTTCTTTAAATATCATGTATTTTTTTTTTCTTAATAGCATTTATTTTCTTTATTTTTTCTTCAATTTCATGAATTTCCTCTTTTAATTTTTACTCTGTAAATTTATTCCTTTCTTTCTAATAAGCGAAAATATGAACTAGGTGTCCCCATTCTTTTATCGCATAATTTTTTTAATATGCACAGTGTGAGAGAAGGTAAAAGGAGAAGTCACTCCCTCAAAATATGTTTTCATCGCTATTTCACGTCAATATCAAATAAAAAAAAATTGTCACTAACAGAATTTGAATCCATTACATTAATGGTAGAGGCTGATACTCCAACCACTAAACTACTAAAATTTTCCGATAATAATTTATAAATAAATTATATTTATATACAAATAAATGTATATCCATGTAAATATATAAATACAAAATATATAAATAAAATATATTTTTATATTTATATATTTTGATATAATTATATATTTATATATTTACATATTTATATGTTGGATGTAAGAATGCGTTTGAGGGTGAAAATGTGTGTCGAGTGGGTTTTCAAAATTTGATGTCAAATTTGTGAGCGAGTCTCTTTATATGGGTTTATAATTTAATGATAGAATATAATCTTTATAATTTATTTATATAATGATATAAAATAATTTTTTTCTTTATTTATTTTTATTTTATTTCATTCTTTTTATCTTTTTTCTTCTATTATTTAATTAAAATTCTTATATTAAAATAATTTTTTCAAATATTAAAAATAATTAAATATTTATTTTTAAAATTATTTTATTTAATAAATTATTATAAATTAATCTATGTCTGGAAAAAATAATTATTAAAAGATGATTTTGATTAATTTATAATAATCTATGTAAGGAAAAAATTATTTTATTAATTAGATTAAATTTGGTATCAAATTTTGAAGATCCACTCGACACACACTTTCACCCTCGAACGCGCTCTCACATCCAACATATAAATATATAACTATATAAATATATAAATATATCAAAATATATAAATATATTTGTATTTATATATTTTATATTTATATATTTACACAAATATACATTTATTTGTATATAATATATAATTTATTTCTAAGTTATTATTAGAAAATCCTAGTAGTTTAGTGGTTGAAGTATCAACCTCCAACTTTAAAGTATTGGGTTCGAATTACGCTAGTGACAATTCTTTTAAAACAATATAATAAATAATAAAAATATAATATAAAGGGGAGGGGGACCTCTAGATAAATAGAGGGGGATAGAGGGTATTATAAATAAATAAAACTAAATAAATAAAAAGGGATTATAAAAAAATAAGTCAGACTTTCTACATCAGTTCACCGTAGTAGTGATTGTATAGTAATTGAATTCTCTTTTTTTTAAATGAATATTATTATTATTATTATTTCCTTAGATTTAAAGAAGGTATTACAATTTTTTCTAATAGTAAAATTTTATTATTGTCTATTGTCGAATTTGTTTATCTTTTCTCATCTTTTATTTTAGTTCAAAATTCTTATGCAATTACTACGATTCCTTATAGTAGTATTAGAGCCAATATTTGTGATTCCTAACGGTGATATTGGAGCCGATGGTTGATTTCTTATTTATGATTGGTTGATTTCTTATTTATGATATTATTTTGGTGTTATAGTCATTAGAATAGTATTGGAGAAAATTCTATGTATATTCTGTGATTGTGGTTAATCTGATATTTCACATCAGAAAAGAGTTATTCTAGTTACTGGATATAAAGTGCAGTAGTGTGACCGTGCATATCTAGAAAAAGTTCTGACAAGGAAAGACTCAATATTTAAGTGTATTTATTATGACCCACCTTTCTTTCTTGTGAGCTTACCTAGTGTACTAGTTACGGTTTATGTTGTTGCTCCAGTAGGCAATACTATTCATAGTGAAAGCTGCATAAGTCGGTTAAAATCAGGACAACAAAATATGAGATAGAAAAGTTTAATGAGAATAGTTTCTTATTGAGAAAATTGAAGATGAAGACAATTTTGAGAAAAGACAATTATGTAAAAGCAATTGGAGAAAAATCGTGGGCATCATAGTTCGAAGGTGGGAAGAAATTTACAACAACGCTATAACAAAATTGTGGAGAAGGGTACAATGAAGAAGATTTGGGAGTCCATTGTCAAATTGTATCAGGAGGAAATACATATTGAACTTGGTTTATTACGATGTATTGGAATCACCAGTATTATCCCTAGGAGGGGCCAAATATTTTGTGTCATTGATGACAATGATTGTTCCAGGAGATTATGGATGTACCGCATTAAGAGCAAGCTTGTGTTTTCAAAGTTCGGGAAAGAAAAATTCTTGAACTATGCTAACAATGTGAATGAGTATTTCTTGTGGATTTCACTATCCACAAGGTTATTATTAGTGGTGATACAAATATTATTTTTCTTTAAGATGAACTTAGATAAATGATTGGTGTACTCCAACCATAAAACTTAAAAAAAAAGAACTATGTTTGCTAGTTGACCAAATCTCTATACAGTTTAAACAAGATACTTAGGTGTTAGTACAAGAGATTTGATTCTTCATGATTAACATTAATTATAACAGACTAAGTTCAGACTATTGTACTTATTACAATAGATTTGATGATAATGATTTTATCATTTTGTCATTGTATGTGGATGACATGTTGGTGTAGGATCTAACAAAGTTCAAATTCGGGTTTTGAATGAACAGTTGGATAAGAAGTCTGATATGAAGAACTAGGAACCGACAAACAAGATTTTAGAGATGTAAATTCATCAGGTTATATAAGATAGGAAGATTTAACTTTATCAAAAGATTACTTATTGAAGGTCTTGCAATACTTCAATATGTAAGGGTGTAATCCAATTTTTATCCCATTTTTTATCAAGTTATCATCAAGTATGAGTCATAGCAATGAAGTAGGGAGGATGAAAATATCTCAAGTACTATATGCATCGATAGTGGAAAGTCTTATGAATATCATGATCGGTACAAAACTAGATATTGCACAAGCAATAAGAGAGATTAGTAGATCAATGAAAAAATTGGTGGAGAGTATGGGTATTATTAAGATAATTCTTATTAAAAGAGCCTTTGATATTGTATTTTGTTTTGGAGGATCAAAACTAGTTGTCAGATACTATGTTTGTTCAAGTTTTGCAGGTGATATTGATGAATTTACCTTTATTGGAGAGACAATAATTGGTTATCCAAGTTATAGGATATTGTAGCTCTATTTATCACAGAAGCTGAGTACATGACAGTCACTCAAACATGTAATGAAGCTATTTGGATTAAGAAGATAATTGAAGAACTCAGTTACAAACAACAACAAATTGTTATGTATTGTAACAGTCAGAGTGTCTTAGCAGTGACAAGTTCACATAGAGGCGATCCTATTGAAAGTCTATTGCAATAACAACATGGAAGATAATAATAATGTATTGTGAAGATTTGATTAATTTAATCAAAATCTTCAAGTGGGAGATTGTGAGAATGTAAAAATTATATATTAGTGTTTATTTTTCTTGTTATAAAAGAGTATAATGTTTACTTAGTAAATTACCCAAGATCTCTTCATTCTCCTTTTCACTAGTGCATTGCATATTAGTTTCTTTTATTTATGAGAAAATATTATTATTATTTTTATTTAGATTTAAAGAGAGTATTGTAATTTCTTTTAGTAATGCTTCATGATATACTTATAAATAAAATATATGTAATATTATTTATTATATAGAAATAATAATCTATTTTGTAATACATTTTAATTGCATAAAAATCATAAACCTTAAACTCTAAAAAAAATATTAAAAATACAATATTTTATTAATAAAATAATGACGTAGGTCACTGACAAAGTTATGTTCGATTTAAATTTATAGAAATTATACCATAACAAATATACGTTTTTTTAGTGAAGAAATATGTCATTATTAATTTATGTGTCATTAAATAGTTAAATTATTTTTATTTAATAAATAATAAAGCAATTCATCATACAATGACATAAAAATGGTTAAAAAACTCTTTCTTATTATATAAATTATGTAATTTTCATTTATCCGTTAATTAAAATTTAATAAAAATATTCCGTGACATTCACTGTACAGTCATGTAATTTTATTAAATACTAAAATGACACAATTAAATTACTAGAAATCAAACTCAAAAACAAAAGTCCAAAGAACTGAGTTCACAAAAAGAAGAAGGGTACGTACAGTTATGTATTTATTTATAAGGGGATAACGAATGGGGGTATAAACATCCGAACTCTGGATAGACATCCTGGAAGAAAAAAAGAAAAAAAAAAAAGAGGGGAGACATTTTTTTAAGGTAATTGTTGTTAACATTATTTGATTATTGGGCCCAATCCATGTCTGGATCTGAGCATGTTCCCAAGACTCATTTGCCCACAAACAAATTAAAATTAGTTAAGAATAGAGTTCTTCCCAAATTGAAAATTTTATGCGCATACAGAAGACTAGCATTACTTCCAAATTCAACACTAGAATTTGGGAGTGGACATTATTAGTATTAAAATTCCCTCGCTAGACCAGTGTCATACAAATAGTTGTAACTAGATATATGTACTGATATGATCATATAAGCGTTTATCAATTATTAGGATATTATCTACATACACACAACCTTGATATAGGAGGGATCGGCCAATGTTTTTTAGACTATTTCTTACAAACAACAATACTTTAGTTCATGGAAGATTCTGTTGGGGAGCTTCTTTTACAAACCGGCTCCAAAACCAGTGTTTACTCCATATGATGTGCATTGATTCCAAAGGAATTCCTTTTGTCTCAGGCAAGAAAAATATAATAAAGATGGTCATAATAACAATCCAACCAGCGTAGAACACTAAGGCACCAAACTTAAAGTGGCATAACATTGTCAAGAATGTCTGAGATAATATAAATATGGTTACGAACTGCACAGCAATAGCTATGCTTTGTCCAGTGCTTCTGATTTTTAAGGGGAAAATCTCACTTGGAATTAGCCATGTGAGAGACCCCCAAGACCCACCAAAGCTTGCAGCGTATAAAGAGAGTAGCACCAGCACCACAATTGCATTGCCCTTTGATATATCCTTTGTACCATAAACACCAGTTACCACTGCTAGCACAACGGACAGCGCAAGCTTCACAGTAGTCATCACAAAAATTGTGATTATCAGTACCAGCCACGAGTCAAATAATACCAATTAAATGATAAAATAACTCAAAGAAGTTAATTGACTTTGCTTACCTGGCAAAGAAACATGCATATGCCGCCAGTTATGAACAAGAACCTTCGACCAAACCGATCAACAATAGCAGTGCCCAAGACAATGGAAGCAAGGTTGACTGTTCCGAGAATAATGGCAGAAATTAAAGCGGTATCGTGTCCCAAACCCACTGACTGAAAGAGGTTAGGAGCATAGAATGCCACGATGTTAATCCCTGTGAGTTGTTGAAAAAATGTGATAGCAATTGCCATGACCAAGTGGGGTCGATACTGCCTCTCAAATATGGTCTTGAAGGGCTCCTGCTCCACAGATTTTGCAATTTGAGACCACTTAATGAGTTCTTCCAACTCAGGTTCAATATCGATGGAGGATCCTCTGGCTTTGCGCAAGGCTCTTCTGGCTTCGTCTATTTTCCCACGTTCAACCAAGCTACTTGGGGTGTCAGTTATAAGCAAGGCACCAAATGTCATAACTGCCGCAGGCACCACGGCCAGGCCAAGAGACAGTCGCCACCCCCATGTGTGCTTTGCGGTTCCGAAGTTTATGCAGCCTGCGGCTACCACTCCTATTCCTACGAAGAAATTGAAGGCTGCGTTGAATGCTCCTCGCCGTTTTGGTGGAGCGATTTCAGAAAGATACAATGGTCCAGACTACAGTAATAATTATAAAAAATTGAAGCTGATAAGATTATGACGTGATAGAAGGTTGGAGTCAACTTAATTCGTTGTCTCGTTTATTGTTGAAAATTGATCTGTGAATACTAAACTAAGCTAGACAACATTAATAGAGACAAAAATAAAAAGATAATATTTTTATTATTATTATTATTATTATTATTTTGGTCGTTAAAAATATAATAGTACTTCAAAATAGAGTAAACACTAATATATGAAATATAAATTTGTGTACTCACTTGATTTGTAAAACCAACACCAAGTCCGAGTAAGATACGACCTAAAATGAGCATGGCAATATTTTGAGCCCCTCCATTAAGGGCACTACCAACAAGAAAGAAAATTCCACCAAAGAGGATGATGTTTCTCCTACCAAATGCTATCGTGATTCGACTAGCTGCAAGAGATGATACTAATCCAGCAAGATATAAGGAAGAGGTGAATAATGTCAATATTTGACTATCATACACACAGTACATGTTTACTTCAGTACTTGCAGCCTTTCTTAGTATATCTGGGAAGAATTTTTGCAGAAATGGTACCATTGTTGTCACACCTCCTGAAATATGTCGACGTTTTTATTGCAGGGAAAAAGTAAGTTTTACCCATCCAATTTAAGACCAAGTCTATTTAAATATAAAAGTAGAAGGACTTTAGAAAGGGTTAACGAAGAGGAGAACTAAGATTAACCTGAAATTCCGACGTCATATCCAAAAATGAGTCCACTAGATGCAGCAACGAGGCAAGTGATGATAACTGAGAGCGTGATGTTGCCAGCGAAGGCATTGGCCATTGGTGAATCCACAGGAACCACCCCACCGGCCATTTTGAAGAACCTCCGAGTCACCTCCTCAGGTTCAGTTGAATTCTGCTTTTTGTTGTGCTGTGTGTGCAATGGCCACTGGCTTGCCTGGCCACTAATTTATGGGTATTATGAACTCTGACTATTGCAAGTGGAAGACTCGTACGTCATCATTGTCTGTGCTCATTATCTCCTCAATTCTCATTAATTTAGTTAGGATCACGTATTTTAAACACTATACATACGGTTGATCAACCGAGCTAAGCTTTTGTTTTTAATTGTTGTTCCAGATTTCATTCAAATTGGTTTTCATTTCCACATCTTTTATGTGCATAATATATAAAAATTGTATTGTATATAATAACCAAAAATTATTTTATAATGAGAATATATACTTTCGAAAAATTTCTATAGAAATACTTGGTTATTATAAAATATATATATTATTCATCAAATCATATTTACATGATCAAGATTAAAATAATGTACATGATTTTTTAATGTAACCATGTTCACAAGATTAACTTTTAAGCTTAATTCATGCATAGTTATATGATTTGTTGAGAACTTTTTTTCATTGTGAAAAATGAAAACGATAAATAGGATTACAAAATCATACATGAAAGATCAAAATAAAAAAATTAGTCAGTAATCAAATAAATTCTTAAAACCACATATGAATGACTAAGATCTAATGTTTCATGACCACTAAAGAAACTGTTTTCCTTTAAAAAATTAAAAATTAAAAATCAGGGTGAAGTGTGTTATTTTAATCTTAATAATTTAAGTTTATATTTATTTTTTCTCTTAATAAAAATGACCTTTTCTTTATTTTCATAAAAGAGAATGACCTAATATAAATTCTTAAGATAAATCCTCTTATTTTAATTAATAGTTTCGTTTCTTGTTAAAAAAGTTTGTTTCTTGTATTCATAGTGAATTTTGGCCTTAACTTTACATTTTATGTGAACTATAGTAAGAACCAAATCTACCACATTTCAAAATTATAAAGAATCAAAAGCATATTTTTAAAAATTATAAGAATTATAGAACCAACTAAATCTAGAAGCACCTACATCATATTTAACCCTTAATTTTTTATTTTTTTAAATATACAATTGGGCAGACAGGCAAATGCAACATGATAATAATTAATTGTGCAATCTATTAAAATTTATTAGCCAGGTAGCATTGATTTTTTATGGGAATATATTACTAATATTAGTATAAAAGTCTTCTATAGCACATTAAACGACTGTTAATTATATTGAACCACCAAACTGGGCATGCCAATTTTCAAATTAATAAACTGCTGGTCAAACTCAGATGCTCAACCCTAATTAAGAAAGCTGCTCCAGTTCATTTTATTTTATTTTATTTATATAAAGTATTTTTGAGAATTTTACAAAAAAAAAACTCTTTTTTATTTATTACTTTCAAAAGTTTTTCTAACTTAATAAATGTTCAAAGTGAAATCCGAAATAAACTATTTCATAAATTTGTATGAAAAATAAGTTATCTTTTTTTTTTTTACTTGCAAGTTGTGAATGTTTATTTTGAATAATCATTACTTTAACTTTAAGATTACATACTGTCAGTTGGCTAAGGACCACTATGTGCCGTTTTTATATAAACAATATGTGTCAAAATCAAAATAGATTAAAAACACTTTCATGAAAAAATAATAAAATATTTATTATACAAAATATCTTTTGATAAAATATTATCTTTAAATATTTAACTAATGTAATCAGGTAGAGTTAATTAAAGTTATGTTTGATAAAATATTATCTTTAAATATTTAACTAATTTTATTCTATGATTTAAACTCAAAATTACTTTTGAAATTCGAACAATTCAATGTCAAATAATTCAAGCATTTAGTAGTAATTAATTATAAATTCCATGGTTATTTTGCTATAATTTAGTTGTAGTGAGATGACAAAGTTATTTAAAATAGGGATTTAACCAAGGTTTATTAAGAATAATTCTTTCTTAAGCAAGATATTGAATTCAATAATCAATTTTCACGTAGGAAAAAACCTTAAATGTTGATGAAATAAGGTTACTTCTAATTTCTTCCTATTTTATTTTCTTCTTCCTTTACAAAACTATGTTGTTTGATTGAAAATGACTAAAGAAACAAAATTTTATCCTAATCAATCCACGTGACTTTTAGTACTATAAATAAAAACTATGAATTATTTAATAAGTCAACTCAATGAACAAAGCTATGACACTAATCAAGAAAATGCATCCAGTTGTGTGCATGGAAATAATAAACAAACAAAATTAATAACAATACAAGAACATTAAGTGGGTTACTTGAGAGCTGACACTAAACACCCAAAGGAATAAAACACAAAAAGAAATCTTGCATCCAAGAAACTCAGTTGAATTTCTTTTAGTAAATTAAAAGTTATATTTCCTATGTCTCCAGTAACACATCACTCAAAAAAAAAAAAACAAATTAATACATCATTCTGCTCAAATAGTAAAAGTTTAAAGAAAATTAAACAAATTCACATATTTTAAAATATTTATTATAAAGACACGGTTTCTTCTATAATAAATTATTTATTGCATAAGGGAGGATTTCTTATATAAGAAACATTACAATCATAAACCAATTCCAATTATTTTTTTTAATAATTTCTTAAAAGCATCTACAATAATCATTTATTCTCTATTATTCTTATACTTAGTAAATCATATTTCTTGAAAAAAATTTACTATTGAAACAAATCTGTGGGACATTGTGGGTTTCTTAAATTCTTATCAAGAAACCTTTTTTTCATAATAACTATTCTAAACTGTGTAAATTTTTTTTTTAATTTCTTTTAATTTTTTATAAATTTTTTATTATTAAAAAAATATGTATTAATCTTTTATAAATGATATAATATTATAAAATTACCGGATATAACTTTCAATATACTAAAAACACTCAAATGAATTTCTCCCATTTAAGAATACTTGTTTAGTTTCTCAAACTAATTTAAGATAAGAACGATTGTGCCACACGTTCATAATTAGGAGCGTCATTCCAAGGAAATTGGAATTACTGAAGTGTGCGCAGAAAAGAAAAAGGTCTCTGAAATAAATATAATTGAATAGTTGAAAAATAGAATAGCTTAAAACCATAATTTTCAATATAAAAAAAATATATACTATATGTTGGTGTTTGAAAAGTCAAAAAAAGGTGGCAAGTGGTTAGTTGACAAGTGGTTGGATGGCAAGTGGTTGGAGACAAGAAAAATTGGAAAGCCTTAATGCACAAGAACCATTCTTTTTACTATAAAATGTTCTTTCACTTCACTCATTTCTATCATCCAATTCCAAAGCAACCATTACAAGAGTTAGCCAGCAAGAAGCAGAAAGAAAATAATCTAGCTTCTGGGTGTAATTGGGTTGAGGGTTGAGTGTTTTGAGAGTGCTTTGTAAACACCTGTGTATTTTCTTTTCTCCCAGTAAAATATTTGCAGTAGTCCGGAGACGTAAGCAATTTTGGCTGAACTCCGTTATCAATTGGTGTGTCCAATTATTCTGTCTTTATTTCGTTTTTATTTCACTTTCATAGATCTGACTACATGGAAAAGTTCTGTGTATTTTTCTTAACAACTGGTATCAGAGCTGGTTGTTAACTCTGCAATTTTTGTGGTGACACTATTCATATGAATAGTGAATTTACTATTCTATGAATAGTAAAAACGTGAATAGTAAAAATTTTGTTGGTGCTACAAAATTATCTACAAACGTGTTCTGAAACACGGTAGTTCACAGAAATTGTCAGAAACGATCCAGAAAAGTCAGATCCAAGTTGGAGTGATGGTTGCAGATGAAGGAAAGGTGAAAATCGAGAAGTTCGATGGTGCGGACTTTGGGTTCTGGAAGATGCAGATCGAGGATTATCTGTATCAGAAGGATATGTTCGAACCACTCACAGGAAAGAAACCAGAGGGTATGAAAGAGGAGGAATGGACTCTTCTCGACAGAAAGGCCCTTGGAGCCATTCGACTGACGTTATCCCGTAATGTTGCTTTTAACATTGCAAAAGAAAAGACGACAGCAGGTCTTATGGATACTCTTTCTAGTATGTACGAGAAACTATCAGCCTCAAACAAAGTTCATTTAATGAGGCGGTTGTTCAATCTACGGATGTTTGAAGGCGCTTCAACGGCGCAACATATCAATGAACTCAATACTGTTACAACTCAGTTGAGTTCAATTGGGATCGAGTTCGATGATGAAGTACGAGCTTTGATACTTTTGTCTTCTCTACCAGAAAGTTGGAATGCTACTGTCACAGCTGTGAGTAGCTCATCTGGAAGCAATAAGTTAAAATTTGATGATATTCGTAATTTGGTTCTCAGTGAAGAGATCCGACGGAGGGAGTCGGGTGAATCATCAACCTCTTCAGTATTGCATACAGAGTCAAGAGGAAGAAGTTCAACCAAAGAAAGCGGACGCGGAAAATCAAAGGGCAAACGATCCAAGTCCAGAAATCATCGTAGTTCCCAAAACTCGAAGCAAATCGAGTGTTGGAATTGTGGGAAGACCGGACATTACAAAAATCAGTGCAAGAATGCACGAAAGAATCAAGAAGCGAAGGACGAGGCAAACGTTGCCTCTACCTCAGGGAAAGATGATGTGTTGATATGCTCTTTAGAAAGCAAGGAGGAGTCTTGGGTGTTAGACTCTGGAGCATCATTCCATGCTACCTCACAAAAGCAACTGTTCGAGAATTATGTTCCTGAAATCTTGGTAAAGTTTACCTTGGTAATGAGCAATCGTGTGAGATTGTAGATAAAGGTACAAGTAAAGATTAAGTTGAACGGTCCGTATGGGAATTGAAAAATGTCGACATATTCCCGACTCGACGAAGAACTTAATCTCGAGTGAGCCAGTTAGCCAAGAAAGGTTACACAACAATCTTCCACTGTGATGATTGGAAGATCTCAAAGGGTGCGATGACAATTGCTCGAGGCAAAAAGAGTGGTACTCTTTACAAGACTGCAGGAGCA